ATAAATGCTGGCGTGGTTGCGGAGAAAAAGGAACTCTCATACATTGTTGGTGGGAATGCAAAATGGTGCAACCCCTATGGAAAATGGTTTTCAAGTTTTTTTACATGTTTGGCTCTGAGTAGGCTCCATTCATATGTGAACAAGGGATATCTATTATTTCATGGAATTCTTCTGAAATTGATCCTCTCTGAGAGCATTTATCTCAGACCTTTTGACCCCAAAGCCAGACCATATTAACACATAATAAGAAAGAGAAAACTATGAACAGCATGACATTTTCTCAAACTACTCATGTTTTGCAAAAAAAAAAAAAAAAAGAACATGTAGAAAAGGCATTGTAAAGTTTCTCCTGTATCTATGTGTGGTTACATAGAAATGAAATATTTCTTTCAGTCTCCAGCAGCAAAAATAGCAACCTATTAAGATCAGCACCCACGCTGGTTAGCTCCAGTGGGAGAACTTGTACTAATGAGGCCCAGGTCAGGGATTTAGTGCCCACGGGATCCAATTAGCTTTACACAGAAAGAGGCTCTGAGCCCTGTCAGAGACTCACTCATTCAGGTAGTTCTGCTAGTGCCCAGGCTCCTTTTTTCACACCAGGGCAGCCTCCTAATGGTCCGCCTGGCTCTCTCCTGGCCAGTCGTTCTAAGCCTCCATGGCAGGTGCACATTCTCTGCTGGGCTTAACAAGCGGTACTGTATAACCTGCCCTTTCTTCTGATCACCCCACTCTCCCAGAGCTGCTTAACACAGACTTGGCACTCTGTCCAGCTGGTGTCCTCTCTACATCCACGTGTGCCAGGAACACCCCAGCCCTGTGCCTTTGCTCAGGCTTTTCCCCGGGCTTCCTGCTCACTGTTCCAAGGCCCAATCAAGTCCTGTCTCCTTCATAATAGCACCCTGAACCACTCCAGTCTGCATTAATTGTTCCCCAAATGCCAGCAGTGTTCACAGTCTCTTTCACACACAGCATACGGCTGTGCCATATTCACTACTGTCTCCACCGCACCTATCACTCCCCCACGACTGTGTTGCAACTTGGCTGTATGCCTGTGGCTGTGCTTCTCCATTCCTATCCCGGTCCTGTGAGTCTCACAAAGTAGGTGCTTAATAGAAAGGTTTTGGTTAAATAATCAAAGGAATGCTACATCAGAGCAAGTAGCCGCATCCTGCTACCGTACCACAACCACCAGGGAAAAAACTCAGAGCATCTGTCATCAGCCACCCTTCTCTCAATAGATTTTTTTCTAATACAAAGAACACTACATTACCATTCCACAAAAGGAGAACACCACCAGGAAACCTTGATATGCCCGTTAGTCTTAATCTGCAATACAGTTGGTTAGCAGTGCATTTTTTAGAACAAATATTTTTGGAATTTATTCATTGTGCATAATAATTCCTAGCCATTACTGTTTAATAAAGGAAGGCAGTAGGGAAGAATTTATTATATTAGTCTTAATCTGCAATACAGTTGGTTAGCAGTGCATTTTTTAGAACAAATATTTTTGGAATTTATTCATTATGCATAATAATTCCTAGCCATTACTGTTTAATAAAGGAAGGCAGTAGGGAAGAATTTATTATTTGGGAATTAAAAGAGACAGGAATGTTTCTCTTTGAAAAAATAAAAATTTGAAAAGTACACTATTTCAGAAGTATTATGCATTTATCATTTTAGGCATTTTCTAGATTAAGGGTATTTTCAGTATGGATTCTAATCTATTTCAATCAATTAGATGCAAACAGTTGTCACAAAAATAGTTACTACACAAAGAAGTATCATTAAAATATCAAGAATTTTGTGAAGTTTTCCTTAAATTTATCAAGTCAAGGAAATCATTCTGCAATTGATTTTACTTAGGTTGACTTAGCAACCCCTTTACCAGAAAAACTGCAAAGATAAATATTGTCAGAAGTTCTACATTTGTATGATCAAAATTAATAAACTACGAGAACATATTTATTTTTACATATGTTTCCCACTGAAGTTTCCCAGGCTCACTAGCCAGTTGTACTCAACCAAATATTTTTGGCAGGTACATTACCACAAAGCAATATTCTTGTGTTTTCAAAAGAAATTATTTTGTTTAGCTGCTGCTTTTAAATATGCCATTTTGTGGCCAGGTTATTAGTAGACTAAACTACAAGTGTCTCAAGGGAAGGGGCCATGTTATTTTCAAATTTATTTGTGAAACATCTAATACCCACTGTGGTGCTGAGTGCCTAGTACACACTTAATGCTCAAACTGGGCAGAGCAAAATTAAAGTGTAAATTACATTTGGTTATGATATCTCACTGCATTAAAATCATAGCACTATGGTGACTATTAACAAAGACGTGAAATGTTGTAGGGAAATGAAAATGTTGGAAACAAGGAGGGAGCCAGTGTTTAGTCAGTTTCTACCCCTCAGCAACTGGATGACAACAGATTTGAACTTCGGGTTTCAGATCTCACTAAATTATCCATAACCATCATTGTATAAATCTAACAGAAAAGCCAAAAGGTCTGTGAGTTATAAATTGAAAAGAAAGAGCTTTATAGAAGCTTTGAGAATCTTGCTTTTAAAAAAAAAAAATCATAAAACCTCAGCAACTTCCTCTTCTGGTACAGCTTCCCTGATCACCAGAAGTGGCCTAGGTGGCCCAGCCTCAAGCTTTCATATTGCCCTGTGCTCACTGCAGGCAGAGCGTGAATGCCATGGGCTGTGTGTATCTGGCTAGGCTCGCAGTGGGCACCAGCTGTGCTTTGACCATTACTGCTTTTCGAATGCCTGACCCAGTGCCTGGTATAGGACAACTGAGAGAGTGAACAAATGCCACTATTTGGGGGGCAGTAAAGATATGAAGACAAGTAACAGAGTAAGATCTTATAAAAAGTGGGGGCCCCAGCCTGCCAACAAACTAAGTTGTTCTTGAATTAGCATTTAATCATAATTATCAAAAAACACACCCCCCTTTTGGTAATACTAAGTATACAAAGACTTCCTGCAAGAAACTAAAAACTACAAAGACTCCACTATCTATATGAGCAAAGACTTGGTTAAGCAACCCACAGAAGAGAAATTATAAATGGCAAACATGAATAAAAATTATTATACCTCAGTAGTAATTTTTAAGTTGCACTAAAACAGCGAGGTGCAATTTACCAAACTGTTCATAATAAACCTAGTAAGAATTCAGTAAAGTGGACTATCACATGTACTTCAGCAAAAATTGGTAATACCTTTATACGCTCATCACACACGCACACACACACCCCATTTAATGCCCTTTCACCCAAGAATTCCAATTCCAGGAAATAGAGATGTGACTGGGTGTTTGTACGCAGATAGATGGTTATCTCAGTGTTATGTGTCACAGCAATGTATTGGAAGCACCTTAATGTTTAACAGCAGAGAAACGGCCAAACTAATTCATCTATGTAATGGGCTATTATGCAGACATAACTGTTTCCAGAAGCATTAAAAAAAATGCTGACAATGCAGTGTTAAGGGAAAAAAAAAGCAAGATGCAAAACTGAATATACACGGGCCGGCCCAGTGGCGCACTGCAGAGTGCACCGCTTGAGAGTGCAGCGGCGCTCCCGCCGAGGGTTCGGATCCCATGTGGAGACCGGTTCCCACTCACTGGCTGAGCGTGGTACGGGCGCGACACCGAGGGTTGTGATCCCGTTACCGGTCAGTAAAAAAGACAAAAAGGAAAAAAAAAACTGAATATACAGTATGCTTTCATATACAAAAAAAGAAAAAAGATTAGAAGATAATGTACCAAATATATACTACTAAATCATAAAATATAGTTGTATACCTCCTGGTTGAGATATTACATGTGTTGCTCCCTTATTTTTACCTTTTAATATTTTTCAAGTTTTCTACAATGAGTACAGGAAAAATGTTTAAAAGAAAGCCTCTTTTGAAGATTCACCATTTCAGAGCTAGCACTTTAGTGTGATGACCCAAGAATTGGGTCAACGGTCCATCCCATGCAGAGCCAGTAAATGCCAGGGACACCATGGAGGGAGGCGTGATTGTCATCTTCCGTTGACCCCGTCCATGCAAGGTCTCATAAGTGCTCTTTTACCTTTCTGCACTAAGGGTGGGGACTGGACTATGCTGTGTCTACCAATGGCAAGGTCTTTTCTCCCCAGCTTTATTGAGGTATAATTGACAAATAAAAATTGTATATAGTTATGATGTACAACATGATGTTTTGATATATGTATACACCGAGAAATGATTACCACAATCAGATTAATTAACAGTTAATTAACATATCCATCACCTCACATAGTCGTCAGTTTTTTGTATGACAACAACATTCAAGATCTACTCTCTTAGAAATTTTCAGGTATACATTATCATTAACTGTATCACCATGGTGTACAGTAGATCTCCAGAACTTACTCGTCCTAACTGAAACTATACCCTTTGACCAACATCCACCCGTGAACCCACTTCCCAGCCCCCACAGGCCTGGTAATCACCATTCAACTCTGCTTTTATGAGTTGGACTTTTGTAGAGTCCACATATAAGTGAGATCATGTAGTATTTGTCTTTCTGACAAATATTGTATTATATATACTTGTGTATATATATGAGAACATACTGTTTACCATAATAGCTACATTAATTTACATTGCACCAACAGTGTAAAAAGTTCCCTTTTCTCTGCATCCTTGCCAACACTTATCTTTCGTCTTTTGATAATAGCCGTTCTAACAGGTGTGAGGTGATATCTGGTTGTGGTTTTAATTTACATTTCCCTGATGATAAATGATGTGAAGCAATTTTTTATACACCTATTGGCTATCTGTATGTATTCTTTTGAGAAATGTCCATTTGGATTATTTGCCCACTTTTTAATCAGGTTATTTGGTTTTTGCTATTGGGTTATTTGAGCTCCTCATAATATGAAGATGAACACCGTATCAGATGTGTGGTTTGCAAAACTGGCAAGGTCTTGAGAGTGTAATCAGTATGCTCTGCCATCCACACAGCAACCCTGATCTCCGGAGAACCGAGCCTGTCTTGGAGAGCCCCTTGCAGAGAACCAGCAGTGGCAGTTCCTCCAGCTCCAGCACCCCCAGCTCCCAGCCCAGCTCCCAAGGAGGCTCCCAGCCTGGATCACAAGCAGGATCCAGTGAACGTACCAGAGTTCGAGGTAAAGCTTTCTCTTACCTTTCCCTGGCAACATTGCCTGGGAGGAAAGCAATGGGCGGGGAAAAAGAACTTCCCGACTGGTCCTGGTGTGACCACCACTGTGTGATACTGAAGAGCCACTTAACTGCTCTCAGCCTCAGTTTCCTCAGGGGAGTGGGCCACCATTCCTAATTGTGTGGGTGACATCAGAGTGTGGGCAAAATTCTTTCTAATCTCAGGTATCAGGGTTTTCCAGGGAGATCACCAAATAATGATCTTATTTGAAAATATAGTCACTTATCAGTCACCTGGGTTTCCATTTCTATTTGATTGCCTAGTTTTAGAGTTTTATGTACACCTAGATGTCCTGTTTCTGTTGTGCCAATAGTCCCTTTTAGTATGTGACCAAATTTTATAATGCTAGCTATTTCTCAAAATGAAATTCAATAAAAACTAATGTAGAATAAATACACCTGAGAAAAGAAATAAAATCTTTGACTTAAAAAAATATATTTGACTCCTCTGTTTACTCCTTTTAGATTGGTAAACTTTAGCCTCACTAAACATTTAGTTCAAATCATTCATTGTTGTTTAGTTTTCATTAATGAGGAAGCCTATGAAAAACATTATTATTATCCAAGTAGTCATACATAATAATACGTTGTTTCTAGCTAATGAAAATTCACTCTTTCTGAATCACTTTCTTAGGAATATAATTTTGCTTTCAAGTGATAAAGACCAGTACTTTTAAAGTGCAATTTTATAAATGAGTGTTGGTATAAATCACTCTATCTGATGAAAACCACCATTTCTTTATTCTTTCTTAGCCTCTCCCTTAGGCACAACCATATTTTACCTTCTAATATCCTTTTAAGGTTTTAAATAAGTAAAATCTTTGTATGTCCATTTTGAAAAGCTTGATGTCTGACATTATTATGTTCGTGTCTCTGAGCTGGAATATGGACTGGCCTGTGGCTGCCCCTGCACGCGTCCTTCAAACATCAGTGGCATATCCAGAGCTATCTATGTCTTTGATGCTTTAATTCACATATAAATGGCAGTTTAGGAAACTGCCATTCCCTTACCTTTTTCCTAGTCGTAAGCAACTTTATATTGTTAGAGCAAATGCTAAAAAAAAAAAAAAAAAAAAAAAACTTCACATATCATTTTAATTCTTTGATCTAGTTCAGATATAATTTTCATATTCTTTCCTTTATCCCCTAGTTCTTCTGGTTAAAAATGCTCAGGTATCCCTGGTATGTCCCTGCCCAGGAAAGACCACTTTAAAAAAAAAAATCTTTCTTACCCTAGATTGCTTTTTCTCTGCCTGTGAGCTCATAAACCAGGAGCTGCTATTCACTCTGGACTGTAGCTGTCAGGGACTCCCCCACCCTTGTTCTGCCTTTTTATCATCAACAGCCTCCTTCCTGCCCCCCCTCATTCTTTCTTCCTTTAAGGGCCCAGATCATGCCCCACCTCCATTTAATAACCATTCTAGATGAAATAAATTTCCCTTTTTTCCCCCCACAAAATTTGATCAAAATAACCTATCCTGATAGGTAGGGGGTAACAAAAGAAACCAACATAGAACCTGGACTTAGAAGCTGGTTTAGCATAGTGATTGAGAGCAGAACTTTCAGAAATCAGACAGAATCCCAGCTCCATTCATAATTTCAGCATGACCTCAGGCCAGTGGTGTTACCTTTTCAAGTCTGTGTCGAACTGTTAAAATGGGAAAATAGTGTCACACGATTGTGTTGGAGAGGGAATCAAATGAAATAATTGATATAAAAAGCATCGGGCACTAGGCGTGACACAGAATACGTGCTCTGTGAATGGTGGTGGTAGTGGTGCTTGCTCTGGTTTTCCTTATCATTACTAGTGACTTCCAGGTCACAAGCCTAAGTGTGGTGGCTCGATGTTGGTTGCCTGAACATTTATTACTTTTCCCTGGATGTGCTTTGAGGATTTGCCTTAGTGAATGACGTGTCCACTGAGGAAACCTGAAGGGCTGACTCAGCGGAGATGACTCATCCAGAACTTGAGTTGGCAATTTTTAACAGTCATATTTTTCCTGGCCTTCTGTTTTTTCCTCTAGCCAACAGTAAATCGGAAGGATCACCTGTGCTCCCCCATGAGCCTTCCAAGGTGAAACCAGAAGAATCCAGGGACATTACCCGGCCTAGTCGACCAGCTGTGAGTGCTTTTTCTCTAAGAGTTCTGAACTCTTTTAATTTACCAGAGAACCCGCAAGATAAAGTTTTTAGAGATACGCTCTATAATTATGAATGAAAATTGTTGATATCAGTAAGAACGTACACTAGAAGCATCCAGAAGGAAGTCATACCTGATTAGGAAAGAACTGAACAGATCTGGGATGGCTACCTTTCCTTTGGATATTTTGCTGATTGTTAGTTCTCCTTTAGATAATAAAACAGGAAGAGAAATAACTTATATCATTCCATAATTTCTACTCAGCAACTTTGGGAAAAGATGTTGAAACTAGCAGTTATAGAGAATTGGGCACTTTCTATGAATTTCCCTTATCCTGCTCTCTACCCATACTGTTTTCCATATAAATTCATATTTCCATTTTTCTGCTACTTTTCATGCTTCTAGGACTATATTTTCTAGACCAAAACTCAGCAAGCATGGACCTGACAACTTGAAGTCCAGCTTCATTGCTGTAACGTGATAGACACCCAGTAGTCTTAAAGAAAGAAATAAGACCATGAAGGCTGAAATTTGAAAGCTGAATATTAATTTGGGATGAGTTACTATCTACTTACTTTATTTTCACTGTCCGAGAATCTTTTCTACAGAATGAATGTGAAGCCTTTTGATTTACCTTTTTTTTTTTTGCATCTTAATTAAGAAGGTACACTGAGAGTCATAATGAAGGGAATGCGTCCTTCTGGGCTGAAGTTCTCTTTGCCTGTTTTGTATTTATCAGTTTTGTACTAACGATTCCAATTTTGTGTCTAACCTGCTGCCTTTCTTCTGGCTTTTTCCCCTTCTGTGGATTCTTCTGGATTGGGTTCCTCTTATCTCAGAGCTATAAGAAAGCAATAGACGAGGTTAGTATTACTTTTTCTTGATCATGCTTTCACAAAATGTAAATATTAAACTTATTTCCTGATGTTGACATTCAGAAAAGTAGCTGGTGGGACCACAGATTTAAAATTCCACTCATTTGCAGTTATCTTCTGGGAGGAGAGCCCCCTCCTTCTAGCATCTTCCAACAGCATACCTGTACTCACCAGCCCTGCTAGGGGATGGCTCTCAGCAGTTTTACTGACAAAGAAAAGAGACATCATTCTAGGGCACTCCACATTTATAGTGTGTGATTTGTGAATAAGGAGTTACAGGGTATTGTTAGATTAATTTTGTGGGACATTAACAACATCATCAGCAGCTGTTGTTAAACATCAACTTTAGTTAATGAATCCTGGTGAGTCAAGTGATTTTATTTCCTCCTCTTAGAGACTTTTTCCATTAGAAAAATATATGGCTTTGTCAGTCGTAGGTAGCCTGCTAAGAAGGATGACTGCCGTACTGCTGTTTGTCAGACCTGCATGAATACAGCATAGTGGAATTTTGTTTAAGAGCCAAGCCTTGCAGAGAATCGTGAATGCATGAAATCTGAAGACTACCATTATGGCTTTAAGGCTGTAGCTCTGCTGAGCACTTTCACTGTGAAAATATGTGGAAAAAGCAAGCTGCATTCAACTCTTGGCTCCCCAGTAAATAACTGGGTGAGACGAGTCTCATAACCTCTCTGGGCCAGTTTCCTCATCTGTAAAATAGGGATAAAAACACCTGTGCCTGCCTTGCTCACAGAATTGTTTAGGATCCCTCAAGGCCATGGGAACAAAAGCATTTTACAAAGTGTAAAGTGCTGCAGAAATCCAGGGGTGTCCTGATTGTTAAGGCTTGAGCCCAAGGCGTGGAGCTATTTTGGCAGGTGGGAGAAGCGTGTTTCTGTGCATCTGGTCTTCACCAAAGAGCCTCACTTTTTCACAATTATGATGATCTCCCCATTCAGCGTGATTTAGAAAGTTATTATCATCGTTACAGGATTGTTGATTGTAAGAGCATGAGAGTCTGCATGTCTCTAGTGTGTGGATGGCATTTGTAGAAAGGGAAGTGGGAATGTTCTTCATGGCTCTGTGTCATGGCCTTGCTTGCCCCGCTCCCTCTTAATAGTGAGAAGGACAGGGATTATCACAACTTTTATCAGTTTCTCCCAGAACAGGTGAAAAAAAGAGAATGACATTCTGTGTGATGGTTGCCAGTCAAGTGGTTGTCTATGTGCACAACTCAAGGGGACTTTCATGAGTCTGGAAACTGGCTCGGGAGTGCTGTCATGAGGGACAGAGCTCTCGTGAATTTTGAGTTAATCCATGATATTTTAGGCTTTTAAAACTTGCTTTATTTCTTTTGACATACTCCACCACACTGGACAGAGATGAGAGGTATAAGTAGTTATAAGTAATTGAGGAGGTGTGAGCTGCTCACCCAAATCTCTGGGGCCATGTGTGTTTAGAAATGTCTCTCCAGATGATTCTGATAATCCACCTGTTCAGTATCACTGATCCAAACCACAGCTAACCCTGTACAGGATTACAGTGGATCTCAACCAGGGATCATTCCTCCCCTGCCCTTTCCTTTTTCCTTAGGAGACATTTGGCAAGATCTAGGACAGTTTGGGTTGTCACAACTTGCGAGTGGAAGGCAGTGCTAGCACATCTTGCAGCCAGAGCAGAGAGATGCTGCCACACATCCTACAGTTCAAAAGAGAACTCCCCACAGTAAAGAATTATCCTGCCCAAAATGTCAAAAGTGCCACAGTTGAGAAACCTGGAACTAAACCTTCCCCCTTCTCCATCCGTAGGCTTTGCTATGGCTTCCCTCTCAGTAGCCAAATTTTAGATAAGCAAGATGGAAATGAAAAGTCCTAAAACTCTTTTTTTGAAAACTTGCTGCTGGTTTTTGCTAATTTAATGGTTAAATTTTTCATAAAAATCAGTCTGGGGGAGTGCCCATTAATTTGGCATTACTTTCTAGTGGAATATGAGATTTTGCAGTATAGTGTGTGATTATTTAATACAGCCTTTGAAAATAAGTATTCTTTTTACTTTAGCACAACTGAATATGTGACATGAAGATTATATACATAAGCACTGGCTTTACCCCTATTTTTTCATTCATATGTAGAAATCTGAAAAATTCCAAAGCACATCCATAGATTGGATGGAACTTGAGTAATAACTAATGGTTCAACCCCGTTTTCTCAGATGAGGACACTGAAGTTAAGTGACTTGCCCGATGTCATATCTTTAGATTTCCTAAAAAGGAGATAATTTATTTGAATACCTAAAGAGAAGACCAGCTTAAAATTTTTAAACAAAATAATAGTTAAAAACAGCAAATTAAAATTTGAATAAATTATATTGTTCCTAAAAAGAGATCTAAAAGAGCACCTTTTTAAGCAAGGCGTGCATAATTGTCAGATTAAATAAGCTTTTTTGAATGCAAAAATTATATAGAATTGGTTCTAAAAAGTCTTACATCAAAAAACCTTTGGGTAAGAGCTTCTTAACTATATTTATTCCACAGTTGAAAAATCTTACCATTTTGTCATATTTCCTTTTTTGCTATACATTCCCAAATATTTTCATGCTAAATAGCACTTTTATTATCCCCTTTTTAATATGGTTTAGCTCCAGGCTTGAGACAGACAAGTAATGAATTACCACAAAAACTCGTTATATGGAGAAAATTGGTATTGTCAGAGAATAGAAATATGAAAATGGATCTGAACCCAATGGTGTCAATTTCAGATCATGTCTATTTCCTATAACTTTGCTATTGTAAATTTTTCCATGGTTGATGGGTAAGAAACAAAACTTCAGCTAATGATAATCTATTGGAAATGGAAGATTAATTTTCTTTAACTGGGGGCATTACTTTTCAGCTGCTTATTATTGTTACCTTGGGATTTTCATATATGTCTCACCCTCCAAGCTGTTACCAATTAAATTTTAAAGGAATTTGCAATTATTTCTAACGTTTCAGGAAAGACAGCTTTTAAAAATAACACAGAAACAAAAAAAAATTAATTAAAAGTGAAATTATAAAGCAGGTCAGAACTTTAAAGTGTTTTTAAATAGTATGAAGAAAAATTTAGGTCACTTTAAAGAACTGAAAGGTTCTTTAAATCAATGGCTTGTGGATTAGCTAAATATTTCTAAATAATTTTGATATATTTTTAATTAATTAAAAGTGAAATTATAAAGCAGGTCAGAACTTTAAAGTGTTTTTAAATAGTGTGAAGAAAAATTTAGGTCACTTTAAAGAACTGAAAGTTTCTTTAAATCAATGGCTTGTGGATTAGCTAAATATTTCTAAATAATTTTGATATATTTTTAAATCTCTTTTGTCTTGTTTTGAAATGTCAGAGATAAGGAAAACCAAGCCTTTGGGGAAATTTATCATTAATTTAAATAAATAATATCTAATAGTGTTATATTTTACTCAGAATTATTAACAATAGAAATAAACTCTTTTAAACCATATTCTCTCTTTAAATTATAGTAAAATGTAATTTTTAATGCCAAGTAGCATTTGAAATACTAGTTATATTCTTTGGTGAGACTTAACATCATCCTAGCATATAAAAGTCAAAATATAAAATAAATTTATCTAATTTGTTATTATTTTACTGGTTTGGAAGATTATAATATCCTTTTCCTTTCATAACTTTAACAAATTTCTAAACTTTTTTTCCCAGTATGCTCAAGTATAGCATACCTTTGACATTCTTCTCCATGTGATAAAGATTAGCACTGGCAATTGTCAAGAGGAAATAAGAAGGAAAAAGCTGAAATCTGGATATTAGCTTTTCCTATTTTGGCTCATAGACAAAGAAACCAGAAACAAATTTGCATAAAATTCTACCTATGTTATAGTTTTCCTCTTCTTTGCATTGTATGCATGATAGTTAAACATCACTGAACCTTTTCAATACAATTCTACTTCCCCTTTCACAGATGGCGAGAACCATCCCCTGAGGTTGAGGCCACGTGTGTATGCGAGTATGCATGTGTGTAAAAGCCCTGGCAAGTGTGTTTGTGTATATAAAACGCACAGTTTGAGTTTTCAGAAGCTTCTCTTCTTCAACGGCTTCAATTTAGGTGACTTCAGGATAAATTTAAAAGTCATTGTTACTTCCCTTTTATTTCTATGATATTAGAAAGAAATGACTCCTTCACTTAACACCTTGAACTTTCTAAATTTCTAGACCAAATAAAACACCTGAAGTGTCTCCTCTCCTAGTCTTTACCTTAATAGTAATGCCTGACATAAAGGTGACAATAGAGAAACATGATGGTATTTTGTCTTCTCAAAATAAAATCATGACTTAACTATGCACATTTATCACTGTTTTTCTTCTAACCGATTTGGATAGATTATCAAACGTCATTTAGATCACCCAGATTGCTCTAATCCTACAGCAGGTGAATTGGATAAATACGTTTCTGGATTGAAATAAAGAGAGAATATGGCCATAAGAAAATTGTGGGATTTAGGGTTTTTCAATGAGTTTCTTTCTCCCTAATCCCCTGTCTCTCACCAAATGCTCTGATTCCGTAGGCTTTGCTATGGCTTCCCTCTCAGTAGCCAAATTTTAGATAAGCAAGATGGAAATGAAAAGTCCTAAAACTCTTTTTTTGAAAACTTGCTGCTGGTTTTTGCTAATTTAATGGTTAAATTTTTCATAAAAATCAGTCTGGGGGAGTGCCCATTAATTTGGCATTACTTTCTAGTGGAATATGAGATTTTGCAGTATAGTGTGTGATTATTTAATACAGCCTTTGAAAATAAGTATTCTTTTTACTTTAGCACAACTGAATATGTGACATGAAGATTATATACATAAGCACTGGCTTTACCCCTATTTTTTCATTCATATGTAGAAATCTGAAAAATTCCAAAGCACATCCATAGATTGGATGGAACTTGAGTAATAACTAATGGTTCAACCCCGTTTTCTCAGATGAGGACACTGAAGTTA